GAGGGTGAAACGCCACCCACCGAGCCCAGGCTCTGCCCTGCAGTGCAGAGGCACCCACCCACGTGCCCAAAAAGCTGGGAAGGAATTCGGCAAGGGAGCACCCCTCTCCGCATCGAAGCTGTGCCCGTGGGAGGCTGGCTTGCTCTTGATCCTCTGCCATCTCCCTGCCCCCCCCTGCCCCGACACAGCACTGCACTCGGTGCCACCGGTGCTTCCTTAATTGCTCTATTAAAGATTTTTGCAGTGCCCCTCCAGTGCTTGGAGCGAATCACCTCCCAGCACGCACGGGCAGGGCTCAAGGGTTGGATTGCTCCAGCTCTGCCCCACTTTTTCCCCAGCCAGAGCACAGGGGTTCCTACACGGGGGCACCACCTTCCTCGGGGTTCCGCAGCTCCCGTGCCCTGCTGGAGTCTCTTCCAGGTCATCGTGACCTTTTCCCAGCACTGGCTTCTTGGTTGCAGGCAGCGCCAAAGCCCTGATGAACCATCTCCCACCATAAAACACTGACTGACTTTAAACCTGGCATCTAGAAAGACAACATGGGGGTCACTATGTGTATGAGCTTTGCTCGCTGGGGAGGAGATGGCGTCAAAGCATGCTGGGAGGGCGAAGCCGTTCTGGTTAGCAGCTTGGTTTAAGCAGGACAAGCTATGGATGGAGCAGGGACATGCAAGAGGCTTTGCTTTCACTGCTGTTGCTGCAGCACTTAGTGGTTGCCAAGTGTGGCGAGTCCACAGCCATGGACTGGAAAGGGAGGGAAGCAGTCCTGGCCCTAAGGACAGGTAGGAAAAGAGGGGCCAGGGCATGGGGCTGCTCGGGACAGGGGGTGAGAGCAAGAACCCGACTGACCCTTGTTACCATGTGCCTCTGGGCACAAAGAGCCAAGCTGCAAACAGAAGAACCACTTCCACAATCTGCTCGCCTCTTGGCTCAGCTGGGACCTGAAGCCCTAGGCAGGCAGGGCACAAACACCACCGAGCCCAAACCATCCCCCCTTGTGCCACAGCCTGGGTTTGGGGACACACAACAGGAACAGGGAGAGCTGCTCCCCTCCCCACAGCACCCCAGGACACTGCCAGCAGTGGCTCCACTCCGTAGGGGCACGGCTGATGCCTGCAGCCTCGGCGGGGACGCAGCACTGCCATGTTCGGATTTACCGCTGCGAGCCTCGGGGATTGCGGGGGGTAAGCGCAGCGCTGGGCGAAGGTGGCACAGCTCAGGGGGGATGGCCCAGAAGGCAGTTCAGCTGTAGCAGGCATGGAAAGAAGAAGAAGAGGGGCTGCGGATGGGTGAGGATGCAGAGACCACACCTGGAGCTCTGGCAAGAGCCTTTTGCTCCAAGAGCGGGCTCGTTCATCCACTGCTGTCCCATTATCAACCTGGGTCTGCAGCTCCTCCCCCTGCAAAAGCAGTCTCACTTCTCAAATCAGCAGCTAATGAGGCAGGGAGATGGTTGGAGTGAAAACACACCATCAAAAGCAGAGCTGCGTCTGCCAGCACTAGTGTCATAAAAAACCCCTCTCCTTAGGGCTCCATCCGTCTCCGCGGAGCGAACTGATGGCTCTGTTCCTAGTTCCCCGAGGCTGTGCTCACCCTGCTAGAGCCCGACCGCCCTGCAGGGCTCCCAACACTTCCTTGAAATCGCCTTCCCTTTAAGCCAATTACAATAGAAAAACTCAAAAAAAAAAGTATAAAAATATAAAATAAAGTGCAGTGTTATGTTTTCAACACTTTTGCCTTGTTTTAATGAGCTGACATGTGGGTTTTGCCTTTTTTTTTCTTCTTCTTCAAGGAGCGGTATTTTACAAAATCGTAGCTACGCCTAAAGCCATTTAGAAAACACTGAACATTGGCACAAAATGGAGAAGCCCACGAGAACGGACGACGAGTGAGGGGCGAGGGGGATGTGGGAGTAGTCGAAGCAGTGGTTACAAACTCCATGGACGCTAAAAATATCAAAGGGGTTTGTTCCCTATCATCATTAGCACGTGGATACTAATTGCTACCTTGGTTAATCAGTGCCTTTGACTGAAATCCTACACATGAATACAGCTGCTTCCAGTTAAGAGTGCTTTTCCCCACGCCAGTGGTGAAGGAGGATCTGGGGACCCCTTTCTCCCCCCTCCTTCTGCAGGGTGAGGCACAGGCTGATCTCCTGTTAGTTTTTCAAGATGGCATCGTAGGCCTGGTAGATGTACTGGGACACTTCGGGAGCTCGGCATTTCAGGGAGAGCTGCGGAGAGGAAGAGAGGAGAAGTTAGTGGTGGTGGTGCAAAGGAAGGCAGGAGCTTTCTACCATCTCCACAAAGGCAACAGGAAACGTCTGACCTACAGCATGGATCGGACAGATCATGGAGGTGGCTGATGACAGTCGCCCAGAATATGTCTCCTGGGTACTGCTTGCTTTGTCACCAACACCAAACCGCCTTTTCAGAGCTTGCTACAAGCAGGAGGAGGTACATGAAAACAAACTCCCACTGTGGGATTCCCAAATTCCTTAACAAATGTAGGTGCCTCTGCAGGCATGAAGGAAGGGGACACTGCCCCAAACCCTGAGAAAAGGGACTTGCTTGCTCTCAACGTTGTAAATCACAGCACTAAGCCCGGGGGCTTCTAACGCTTTGCTGTTCAGTCCTGACAGACACAAACTTGGCTGCCACCCCTCTCTAAAGCAAGGATCAGGCTGAGACCAGGCTGGTGGCATCAATCCTTGCGCAAACACTTTAAATCACCTTCCAATGCTTGCTTTCACCCCACGGGTCCCCAGGCCATGGATTTTTCTTGCAACTCTGGGAACAGCTTCCAACAGGAGATAAAACCTCTAATACCGGGATGCTCAGACACAGAGGTCCTTGGAAGGGGAGCAAAGTCAAAAGCAATAGCTACAGAAGTGCACAATGCGGGACAGAGTGCACCTTCCACCAGCCCTAGGCTGATGCCAGCACAAGGCCAAAGAGGCTCTGACATCCAGACAGACGGTCTCCGCTGCAGGAACGCGGCAGGACATAAATTTCTCCTTGTTTATGAGAGGGGGAAGGGCATCTTGGCAACGCTTTCTCACTAATGTCTCTTGGCTTTATCTCTGGGTAACCTTGGCAAGTAACCGCTCATTGCTGAGTGGGCATTATCCCAGCTCACTGGTAACGGAGCAGCGTAATTCTGTTGCTTCTCACTTTTTTCCAGTTCAGCACGCATTCCTAACCCCCCTGTGAAATCAACAGGATCTCCCCCAAAACAGGCACATTGGGCAAAGCAGGGAGAAAGGGCTCCACGGGTGAGGACACCTCACCGTGTAGTTCGGGTTCCCCGGCTGAATGCGAAGCTCGGCCAAGATCCAGATGCCATTGGTGAGTTTCAGAGACTGGTAGAGCATGTCCTGGCCCTCCACGTTCCTCTTGGCAATGGTGTAGACGTTGTTGTTCTGCAGTTTGCTGGAGACAGTGTCTTCAGAGAGAAGGAAGAAAAACACATCTGTTAATTCAGATTCATCATCTGCGGAGACAGAAGAGCCCAGAGGAGCGTTCCGAGGATGCAAGCACACAAGAAAACGCTGACTTCTGTCCCAGAGTTTTCTCTGAGGACAGGAGCAGGCATTACACAAGGAGAAAAAATTCCAATTCGCTTCCACAGACCCACTTCATTCTTTTCAGGCTGTGATCCCTTGTGCAGTATTTGCCCATTTTGCAGGGCTTTCACTTACTTCTTGCTGCTCTGTGTCACTCAGGGCTCACCGCCTTTATCCAGGCAAGAGTCTGCAGCTCGGAGGGTAAGAGGACTCTGCTCTGTCTGTAACCCCCACCAAGCCCCAGGCAGGTTAACCTGGAGGCACCCAAAAGTCAGAAGATGAAGGTGGAGGAGAACAAAGATCCCTGCCTGAGGCTCGCTCGGGCGCCTGGTTCTGAGGTCCCGTCCCAACCACGGCAGCTCCCTCCTGCTTCCCCCCACACCCTCACGCAGATGCCTGTGGCCAAACCAATGCCCTACAACATGGTAAAAGTCCTTTCCTCTTTTAAAGCCATCGCTTGAAAGGGTAAAAACCCACAGATGTCCGTCTCTGGAGATCACAGGGCTGTGACACAGTTTTAACACGCCGTACGACCTCGGCGCTCGCAGAAGATGCGTGGTTTCAACTGCAGACCTGCATGGATGTATCTACGACACGGGTTATTTCTAAGAGACCTTCCAGAGAAGCAAGAACAGAAGCAAATACGCAGAACACAGCCCCAAACCAGCAGCCTCTGGATGCCAAGGGGGGTCTCAGCACAGCAGGCCAAACCTCAGCCTTTGGATGCCAGTAAAAGGGGCACACCCACACTTTGGGCAGAAGGCTCAGGGAGGACGACTCCACATCTGATAAGCCTCACCGGTAAAATCCCATTCCTGGTGCCCGACAGAAGAAATTTAACCCCTTCAAACTCTCTGCCTGGGCCAGGGAGGAACACCCTGTCTATGCTAAGGCATTCTCAGCAGCTTGGGTGCTTTCAACAAAGCAAGGGAGAGAAGTGGCCTTAAACCAATCTGCACTGAAAGCCAAGAGACTGGGAACGTGGGATCCGTTTCAAGGAGCGGGAGGAGCAGAACAGCAGCAGAGCAGTGGCACAAAGTGTCTGCGCAGCTCTAGTCCATCCCTGCACCTACAAACACCAAGGTCTGCCACCAGCGGTGCCGGATTTGAGAACGGACACAAATCCGTGCTGGTGCAGGGAGGGATTAGAGCGGGGACAGCCGAGTCTGTTCATGCACCAGGGAACGGGAGAAGCAGGAAAGAAAGGGCCTCACAAATCCAAACGCTGATGCTGAGACCTGGACCCACTGCCTCTCCCCAGGGCAGCACTGATCACCAGGGCTGCGGAGCAGCTCCGTGGGCAGCCTGGACCCTCCACCCGTGGCTGGGCTGAACCCTTTTGCTCCTCAGGCTTCAGAGTGGCTGTGTGCAGGTCGAGGAGGGTTCAGGCACCCAGCTACCCAGATGCACTCAGATTTAGGTTTCTTCTCTTCCCCAGTTACTATGGAAACTGGCAGATATAAGTAACTAATGAGATCCTTTGCTTAAAAACCCTCATTCCCTCCGTCTCCTCCTCCTCCCAGCTCTACTCCTCTATACAACAAACTCATCCAGATTAGGGAAACAGGTGGTGCAGAGCAGTCCCCTGCTCGCAGGGAGCATGGCTGGAGGGACATCACCCACGAGGGATGAAGCCCGAGCTCCCCCAACAGCGAGAGCCGCCTGCAGGGCTTTGCGAAGGCACTGTGTTCAAGGGACACTGGTGTTACATTTCATTTTGTTTGCCCAATTTTAACGGGCTGTGGTTAAACCTCCCTGGTCTGAAGCCCCTCTGGAGATGTAGCCTGGAAACAGAACTGCTGGCAAGGGTTTGGGACCTTCCCCAGCAACCCTTGCTCCTGCTGGCAGCAGTCGCCCCCTGAGCCGGGAGACGCTGTCAGAGCAGAGGCATTCCCCAGGGAGCGTGGTGCAGGGTGGGAAGCAAGGCTGCAAGCAGGAAGCTGTAATTTTGGCAGCTGTGGGGCTGCTACCCCATCGTGCCATGGTGTGACGGCAGCGGGGAGTGCTCCTGCTGCCCGGGGAGCCGTGCTCGGGGGGCACAGTGGGCGAGACAGGGCCGCAGAGCAGCTGCTCTTACGCCAAAGCCTTCAACCAGGTGATGGCACACACATGGTGGTTCAAACATCTAAACAGCTTCTGCCTCTGCTGGGGAGCTGATTTCCATGCAGGGACATGCTTGTAGGGAGGCAGAGGGAGGGAAACTGAGGCAGGGAGGGAAACTGAGGCAGGGCAAATTCCTAGGAAAGCCTGTTTTCCACGTCCCTGTCCGACCTCAGTTACCCCCCTGAAGAGTGCAAGAAATGCTACAAAACATACCCTGTCTCAGCCAGACACCCGGAGCAATCGTGAGCAGCTGGAGCGCTGATGCTCGGCTCGCCCGACTCCTCCTGCCCCCTCTCTCAGAACAGATCTGGGGACTGGCGAGAGCCTACTCCCTCTCCCCCCAGGTAGCAGCTCCCATCCCTCCTGCGCTCCAGAGTGTCAGGATTTTGGAGATCGGGCAGAGTTGCTAAGCAACTGTGCCAGGCGGTGCCTGGCTGAAAGCAGGACCACTAATGCCATGTGACAGCACAGCCTTTTGAAAAAAAAAAAAAAAAAATAAAAAAGGCAGATATTTGCTAGGAGCAGAGAGCTGAGCCCAGCTCTGAACTGGGCTGTTGGTTTCCGAGGAAGAGCGCAGCACCCACCCAAGCCCTGGTTAGTGCCCGGCACGGGCAGGAGGGCTGAGCCGTGCTGCAGGGCACACGTCTCCCCGCACACGTGGGGCCCGGTGACTCTGACTCTGCAAAGCAGAGCCACACGAGTCCCCCTGCAAGATGGCACAGTCTGTGTCTGACCTTGCCAAGCAACTTTCCGCAGGGCTTTTTGACTCAACGCTTATTCTCAAAACCCTCTTGGAGCACAATGTAAGGGTACAGAGAGATTTTCCCATCACCAAGGCCAGGGAAGCCTCTGACATCAGTCCATCTTTCAGGTGTGTTTTTTTTTTGTTGTTTGTGCAGGTTGTTTGTTTTCCTTTTCTTTTGCTTTTTAAATAGAATTCTTTACCCTACCTCAGCCCAACAACTAAACAGCACACGTGGAAACCCAGGGAAGAACAGGAAGAACTCCTCCCTTGCACTAAAGTAATCCAATTCTTTTCAACAGCACTGTCCTTTGGGGTATAGCAAAGGACATCCTTAAATCTTCTACCTGTACAGCTTAAGAATCTCACTTCCAAACTCAGCTGAGCCAACCAACTGGCGACAACAAGAGTTTTCACAAAGGACACGTAGAACTCTGAACCGAAATCCACAATATACCTTTTCTAAACTTGGACCTTCGTGGCATTTTGCAACAAGCGCTGGATAGCAGGAAGTAAAACTTAACGATGGTATTTTGTGCTGTGGTAGCTGAAAACATCCCCGTGCCATTTCTAGCAACACCTGAATGGTGCTGAGCATCCAGCCAAGAACCGCGTTCAAACACCAAACACATCCGCAGACTCCAATCCCGTGGGGAGGCACTTGGGTCAATATTATGACACTACATCCATTTCCAAGACATAAAATAAGCAGAGGTTCTATAATTTATCAGTTGGTCAGGTTATTGGATTTGCTCATACAGGAAAAAAAACCTACAGGGAAGCTTGCACATGCTTGCACCTCAGGTTGTTGCAACAAGAAGATCCAATTTCTCTTTGTTCCAGCATTAGCAAATTACTCGGCGGGAGGAAAACAAAGTGACCACTGCATACCAATAAAGCCATGTTCAACTCCAAACACCAAAGCTGTTGTTTCACACCGAACTGTGGACCAGTAATAAGCACGCAAAAAGCAAAGTTCCTAGATGCGCTGAACAGCACAGCGACTAATTGCCTCCTGTTTAATGGTGTTCAATCTCTGTGTGCAAGTCAGCTTGTTGTCTTTCACTCTGTAGGTTTGGGTAAGCAGAATTTAAAAAATGAAAAACATTTAGCTAATCTGATTTGCATATTTTAGCTTAATGTAGTGGTCCTTTAAAATTTAATCAAACTTAGTGTGTTGAAAAAACAGTGTAAACAAGGCAAACTGAGCTTTAGTGCACTCTCAGTTGCGGGGGAAACCTCAGTTGGTGCAGATGCACCAACAGCACCAGGATTAGTGGAGCTATAACTGTCTAGGAATCTATTTTCATGCACTAGATTCTTATATTTTCATAAAAAAAACCCATAAAATCAATTAATTTAGCACTGGATTCACCAGAGATGAGAACGCTGGGGTATAACCATGACCTTGTGTTTTCATTACAAGTCATATTTCTGACTATGGTTTTCTCCACAGCAGTATCATAACCTCTTCCTAAGATGCAGACGCATGAAACGGAGCTCTGATGAATTCAAGATGCACAGCACATCCTAAGTACACCTCGGCCCCACGGTACAATTCCAGAGAGACTCGCTCCTCCACGGCCCTACAGCTCCAGCCCTAAGGAGCAGCCCCAGGCCAGGGCCAGCGCTCAGCACTGGGAACCTGAGCCCTGAATCCCTCATCCAGAATTACATGCTCATCTCTGAGTCAGTGGGAACTGTGGGAATATCTTCAAGGGTCCAGGATTTGCTTTTTTTTTGAAACAAAGATGCTGGAGACAGGGACCAGAGTGGCAAGCTCTACCACTTAAGGGTACCTGCTCCTCACCCCACAGCCTGGCACCTCATCCGAGGCTCCAGCTTGTGGTGCTGTGGGCTACCTGCAGCAGCCAGGATGTTCTGGCTGTTCTGCACCCTGTTATGGGGTGAGCTGCCAGGGACCGAAGCTTTTTTTGCCATCCCTGTTGCAAACCATTAAAGCTCCAGTCAACCCTATTTGGCTTGCCTCGTGGGCACAGGATGGATAGGCCTGGGAGCACAGACTCATAACACTGATGGACTGTCTTTATCTCCTTTTTGTTTGAAGGAACAAAAGAAATAAGTTGGGGAAAAGCCTGTAGTTTACGCAGGAGGTGCTGCAAGGTGACTGTTGCACGGCGACAGCCAGCCAGCCCTGGAGGTACAAGAAACGCACAAGCAGCCTTCTTGACAGGTAAAACCCAGCCCCCTGAAAATCTCTGCTCCAAGCCCATTTTGCTTTGTGGTTTTTTTTGTTTTTTTTTTTTTTAATTAGAATTTCAGTTTCTCCACTGAAGAAAATCAGCATCCTCTGTTCAGGTGCTCGGCAGGGCCCCCTGCACATCTGCGCATCACCTTCAGCCTCACTCCTCACGTGGTGCAGAAACAGCGCAGAGGGGCGCTCAGCAAAGCAAAGGCTCTTTGCAGCTGGCAGAAGAAAAAGCCAAGCACCGAGGGTCCGAGGACCATGGCTCTGCCCAGCAGCAGCCACATGCCACCCGGCGCGCTCTGCCCCGCCTGCCTAACCTCCTCCTGCAGCTGCGCAGCTCCACGCGGCTGGCGCTGGCGCGATGAGGGGGCATCAGCTGGCAGCAGAGGTATTTTTAGCTCAACAGCTGAATCCGCCTCGCCGGGCTGGGATCGCTGAGACCGAAGCATGAATGGTGCTGTGCACCCCCCGGAGCCTCAACGGCGACTCGTCACCAAGTGGGTGGGCTCACGCTGGGCATGAATTACTTATCGGAGCGGCTGGGAGAGCAGGGATAACGACTCGCACGGTGGCTGCACACCTCTGCGGAGCTCAGAAGCTTTCCGTCTGCGCCGAAGGGCTGCGGAAAGCCAGCAGCTCCTGAGTTTTAGTGAGGAGCTGTTGGAATCTGCAGGCTTTGTTCTGTGCAGCTCTGCCCTGGCAGCCGTTGGTGAGCCTTGTTTTGTGCAGTGGCATGGAAGCTGCACGCGGTGGTTATTTCGGTGAACAACAGACCTGCCAATGGCCCAGGTCGAGAGCTTTATTCTGCTTAGGCCTCTCCCACAAAAGAGTCTTTTGAAGATGAACCAGTCCTTCGAACATGAACCAGTCTTTCCTCCACAGCAATCAAGTTCCTACAGATTCTATACCCAACACAGAAGTTGCTGTTCTTGAAAGAAAGGAGGTGCCTTAAACCAAGGCTATTTTCACTGGATTTAAACAATCAAGACTGTGGATCTTAAAAGACTATCGCCCTACTGCAGCATGTAGCCAGACACGCACCCTCGCTCTGGCATAAACTAGTAGCAGGATGGATTCAGCTGTCATCAGAGCTCACCCAGTTTATTTCGCTTCTGCCCTGTAGCGCGTCGCCAGCTACTTGGCCACGTTGCAAGAAGTCGCCATCCCTGAGGATGCTGGAAGACCAGCTCTCTGTAGGGTCCGGGGCCCGGCTGATCCTTGTACAGACAGCTTTGATGCTCTTAGGACAGTCTGTACTAGAGGAGGTTCGTGCTTAGACAAAATCAAGGTGAACAGTAGGGTTGCATTGGTAGTTAAAAAATATACGGGGCTAAGACAAGCACACAAGATTTCCCCAGTTTTCCCTCCTGCAAGCTATTGGCCTGCTCCTTGCCCAAGCCCAGGTGGTCAAGGAAAGAACGGGCTGGTACAGTCACAAGAGGCAGGAGAAGTAAGCAGCGGAAATACAAACCCAGAAGCTTCAGCAGATGGAAGCGTTTGAAATCCGTTTATGAGACATGACCCACTTTCTCCCATACATAAGCCAAAGAGGCTGGCAGATCCCGCACGCCCCTGAGCATCCCAAGTGACGGATCGCGCTCGGGAGAGGCACCGCGTCCGCGGCTCTTGCTGAAGCACTGGGAGAAGCCTCTTCCCGCCTGAGCCCTGGCAACGGCTGCAGATGCCACTGCAGAGAAACTGCCTGGCATTCCCGTGCTCTCCCTGCGAGCCCGTAACGTTTTCCCCACGGAGCAGCACCAACCCAGGCAGGCTGGGCAAGCGGTCTGCTCTGGAGCTGGCAAACCCTGAGCAGGGAGCACTGCCTCTCACTCCACATTTTCTTCCAGAGGGAGAAGGGGGCACAGGCCAGGCTGCAGGATCCCCAGTGCTCACCTGCCCACCCCCTGTCTCCCTCTCAACTACATCCTCCGCCAACCATCACTGCAGCACTCCAGTGCCAAAGCGAGAAGTTACCAAGGCTTCTGATTTGAGACGCAAAGAGCTGCGGGTGGCGCGGTCAGGGCACCGCCGGGGCAGGCGGCTTTACCCACAGCAGCAGCACCGCAGTGCAGGGGCAGAGGCTGTGCCAAGCTCGGCCAGGAGCAGAGGGCGGGCTGGGGGAGGCGCAGAGGTTGTTCTCGTTTGAAACCTCACAGTGAAATCAAGTCATAAGGTCCAACAGCTGCTATTTTTTCCCCCCCTTGTGTGTGCTCCGTCTTTTATATCCCGAAATAGTAATAATTATGAGTACAAAGAGACCCATGGTTTCTGTCTGCAATTGAAGCAAGAGGGTGTTCATCGTGTAACAGCAGGCATGAGCGAATAAAAAGGTTACGGGGTTTGTAACCAACACTTTCCTTCTCTGCGAAACACAGCAGCTTTCGGTAGAATCACTTGGCTCCTGTCCAGAGCCTCTTGCACAGGAGCAAAGCTGCTACACTGGCCCCATTCCACGTTTTTTTTTTACACTCCCTCACCCTTCAGCAGTAGTAAGGTCATACGTACAAGTAGGATGATCACAGAGGCAGCTGGACGACTAAATACAGAGCTGAACGGGACAGAGTATGACCAAAATGCCCCAAAATAGCAGCGAACGACAGCAGACCAAAACTCTTCTCACATGGCCTGTCCTCCACAGATGTCAGAACATTTTATAGCGGTACGTAGAGTTCTGTAGGGTTACTCTTTCACAACAGAAGGAAGAAAGCAGATGCTGAAAGGTGAAGTGAGTGACCCAGGATTATGCAGCAGGTTAAAGTCAGGGCTGGAACACCTTGCCAGAAACACTCGGCAGCAGGACAGGATCACTGTGCAGCCCCAACACTGTACTCAGCTCTATTTAAATGAGGAGCTTTGCACAGAAACAAAGTACAAGACAGAAAACGAGTACAAAATCCAGAATGAAAGGAAGAAACAGATAGGTAAGATTTAAAATCACAGAATCATAGAATGGTTTGGGTTGGAAGGGACCTTAAAGATCATCTAGTTCCAGCCCCCCTGTCATGGGCAGGGACACCCTCCACTACACCAGGTTGCCCAAAGCCTCATCCATAAAATCTGGGATTTTAGTTGTGCTTTTACAGGGACCTAAAGTTTTTGAGTGAAACGAGCCCCTGGATCCAAGGCTCTTCTATTCCTAAGTGCAACATCCATCTGTCAGCCACAGACGATGCTGTTAATCGGGTGATGTCTGGTGACCATGCATCAAAAGTGCTCTCAGCACGGTAGAATTAAGCTACTCACCGGCATTCAGGTGACAGTCTTTGATCTGGAACTGAAGCTCGTTTTCATTTGGAATATCCTTCCATGTTGCAAGGAAGACCTGGCGCTCTAGAAATGAGAAAGACGATCAGCAATCCTGGATCCTCACGGGACGAGGGCGCTAATTAATTCACCGCAGAATGATACGAGGTAGAGACACAAAAGATCTTTTGGTCACGTTTTGCCCTGCTGTGGTCAGATCCAGATTTGCTTCTATAAAAACCTCAGTCTCACTGTAAAAGCAGCAAAACTTTGAAGGATTTTGGAGCCCCCAAACCAGAGACAGTCTTTACCATATGAGCTGTTTACAAACAAAGAACAGGTGGGATTTGACAAGAAGGAAGGAGACCCACACATTTAGGATTATGTTAGTGAAAGCTGCTTTTCAAGCAACTTCCCAGCCAATTCCAACAACAGTTTAATAAAGGTGACCAGGAACACACAAATTACAGTGAAAGTGGTATGGGGGCAAATCCTAGCCCTATTTGAGTGAACTAAACCCTCCAAAAAAAAAAAAAACAAACCCCGCAACAAAAAACCAACCCTAAAAAAATCAGCTTCAAAGAAAACAGACCCGTCCCTTGTCCAACAGAGAGAATCAGAGCAGAAGACTTGGGTTCTGGTCACTATTGGAGCTGGAGAAAAATGGGGACAGGCTACCAAACCACTACAGATCAATTCAGGCTGCTGAGATGCACAGGCATGAAGGTCATGGCCAAACACAAGTGCATCTCAGCCATGGGACAACCGCAGCCAGCTGGGCGCTGCCGGCACAGTCTGGCTGAGGGAACTTGACCACAGACCAAAAAGCACTCACCCATTTTGCCATCCTCTACGAAAAGCACGTTGAGAGGAATTAGGCAGCTGAAGTAAAAGACATCGATGTTGTTTTTCACAGCCACCTGTTACAGAAGAAACAGGGGTGGTTAAAGCTTCTCTGTCAGCTGTAAGTCCAAAGCAATACCAAGATTTCATGTAGTCTCATCACCTGCCCGTGCACCCTGGAGGGCTCTCTCTGAGCAAAGGCCAGAGGAGAGATGTTGATGAGCTGCTGGGCAGTTTCAGAAAAGGATCTGTCTCATCCCTCTGTGATCAATCCATTTTCACTAAAAGCAGCATTCTGAATCTTTTATGAGCATTTCACCACGCTGCCTCAGAGCCAGCTGCACTGATGGGGTCACAACCAGCATCCTTGCTCTTTTCTGCTCTCGTTCAACCTCTCCCTCCCCTCGCTTCTTCCACCTCGGAGGTATGTTCATATCTCTCGGCTGCACACTGTCATATCTGTCATATTGCACATGAGCTTCTCCATCACCCCTCTTTTCCACCTCACTCTTATAATTCCTCAGCTCCAAACCCCCGTGCATTCTTTATTTTCACCCCAAGCTCTCAGTCGTGTCTGAACACGCAGACTCCTTGATTAGTCGCATCTCAGCCCAGACACTTTCTAGAAAGCTTGAAGCGGGTCCATCGCCTGCACCTTCCTTGCAGCATCTCCCAGGTCTCCAGCCTTTACCTTAGTGAACGCTATATAGTGAACATGTTCTGGGTGTTGATTCCTGGAAGAAGAAAGTCCTGCTACAGAGCAATCAGGGCAGGTAAAAAAAGATTGCTTGACAAAAGACTTAATTCTCAGTATCACTAAACTCCGCCAACCAGGGAGATGCACTGGATTGCCATTTATCACACATGCTCGCCACGTTACCGACTAATCTCTGCTAACACAGACAGCAACCTCACTTTCAGTCTTCCCCAGGCTGAGAGCTGACGGTACAGCAGGAGCAAAGTGCAGGTCTGAGAAAGTGCACTGTCATAACGTAGCTCTGGGCTTCATCTCTGTGCCTCTCACGCTCTCCTCGCAGCATCCCGCACAGCGAGAGCCTGTCGTGAGAGTACAGTGCAGCAGACACCTGCCATTGCTTGCAATGAAGCAAAGCCAGCCTGGAAGAGAGACCTAGAATGGAGGTCATGTGAGGAGCCCTGGATTTCAGGAGCTGTTTGAGATTTTTCTTCCTTTGAAAAATCCCAGGAGGAGTTCTCCAATTTGCCACACAGCTAAATCACAAGACCAGACCATGCTAAATGCTGAGCCAAAGAAATAAATTTGCTGCTACAAAGATTTATGCCAAGACAAACTCCATTCACGTTAATAATTACATACATTAGCGTTCTGCTGAGAAAATCTATTGTCCCATAGTGGCAGGTTTAGAAAGAGACCCCCAAACGTCAGTAAAAACAGTTGCAGATAGACAAGGGAGGGGAATAAACAAGAAAACTCAAACACAAGTCAGCTGATCAGACATGCACGCAAGCCAGAGGACAAATGGTAGGAGTTCAAGTTTCCAGATGAACTCTTCTAGCAATTGGGAAGGTCCCAGAAGTGCAAAGAACAGCAGAAATATGGATGTAACAGTCTGTGAGGTTTCTTCATTCAGCCATCACTAAAGGTAGCAGCTTATATTTAATTCTCACAGTGCAAACCAGCTTAAGAAGGGATTAGTTTAAAGCCCACTAAAACCACGTAAATGATGGTGCAACCTAGAAAAAAAAAGGAAATGGTGCTCTGCAACGGGGAGCTGTCACATGCTTCAACTGCTGGCGTCATACTCGCGAGTTGGAGTGTCTGGTGTTTGAGCTAGAGGCACTGACAGCAGAGGGGCAAGAGCCCATCAGTGGACGGACTCCAGTGATTCACCTCTGCAAAATGTGATTGAACAGGCTGGGCAAGCGGCCAAAAATGCACCTCTGAGTCTGGGAGGGGAGAGCTGGGGAAGGGACAGCAGTGCAGCCATTCCAGATGCTATGTTTGGATGTAAGTCATGGAGATGAGGCAGAAGTGGAAAAATTTAGGCTAAACGTCTGGGAAAACTTGATAGTGAGAATTATTAAGCAGCACGAAATTCTCCTGAGGAAGAGAGAAGCCCCAGTGCTTGGAGTATTTAAAACCAGCCTTGACAATGCTCTCGGTAAGAGGAACTGCAGCAAAACAACAAAGCATAGCAGGGACCACACTGCGTGACCTAAGATCTTGTCCAACTCTGATTTAATGATTAATTGCCTTGCCTTAGAACAACAGACATCACTTAGCTTTTGTAGCTAATTGTTGTTGCCATACAACAGCAGTTTCTTACAAGAGGGGCTGGAAAGCAGTGCCTTCTCTCCAGTTTCGGTTCTAGAGGCACACTCCAAATTAATATGCTAACCCTGTCCCTGCAGTTATAAGGATGCTATAAAAAGGTATCTGCTGACCTGCTTCTCAACTCTGCAGAAACATACTGAGTAAGCTGCTTTGGCTATACTCTGGAGAGCTACCCAATTAAGATGCTCTGAAGTGCAATTTCTTCCCAGCAAAGAGAAGTGAGCCACACGCCAGCCTTCCTCCCAAACTGCATCATTGGGTTCAGTAATGACATCACGTGTCACCTTGCAAGTATCTGTAACGATGCAGAAACCAGCTGTTACAAATAACTTTTGCAAATAGGAAAGGAAAAAGCTACGGTCTCCTTAAACCTATAGCACTAGGACGAGACCAGTAAGCTTTTCAAGACTAGCTTCCAGTGTGCAACACCGCAGCCCCCAAACAGCCAGGCGTGCACTGTTAACGCAGTGGTCCCCGAGATCTGCTCCATGAGAAGGCACTTGCAGATACCTGGATGGGAAAACTTGCACCCAGAAGAGGCTAAGAGGCCCTGCCAGTTGATAACAGCCTTCCAAGGTCACACTTCAACTTTTGTACTGTCACATCAGGAGCACCCAATGCCATCTGACAGGCTACAAAAGCAGCTGCAGGCAGAATGCAGACCCACAGCAGCGTCTGTGAGAAACCGAGTAGCTAACAGCAGCCGCTTGCCAAAAAAATCCAGTGCTCCTTAGGTGGGAACATGGACCTGAGACAATCAATGACATTTAAAGTGATACCAGTAGTTGAGAAGTCTCTCTGGGTTTGACATGCTTGAAAGAAACCTCCACTTGCATTCAGTAAATCCTCCAGTCCAGGCTAACTTTGCCTGTGGCTTTGCAGCTTTAACCTGCTGACCTGGACATGAACTAATAAAATCTCTAGCAAGACCTTCAGCTTCAGACATTTGAGAGTTGAAACAGAAGCATTTTAAATAAAAACAGCTTTCCATCTGTGATCTTTCTGAAAGGAGGAAAAAAATAATATTACTACCTTGTGAATTTAGTCAAGCAGAGAACAAAACTTCCAAGGGATAAAAGTCAAAAGGCACCAGATATTCATGTGATGCTTCACTGCTGAAAAGGTGTGAGCCCACTAAAAATTGGCACAGGGTTCCAATTCAGCTACATCTTGTACATGATCTGACTAGAGGAAGCATCACCTCTAAAAGCAACTCCTGAAACATATTTGCCCACCTTGCAGCATGAGCACCCTTCTGATGTCCTTTCTCGCAGTGCAACCCTCTGATAGCCAACACATGGTATTTTGGGAAAGAGGTTCCTCATAAGAGCAACGCTAAGTCATTTTCTTCATTAGTGTAGGTTTCTGATGCTTTAAATCCCAGACTTGAGCATAAGAACCGACTTTCAAAGTCAAGTCTGAAAGCAACACAGATGCTTTCCATCAGCAGCAAGTACACAACATACCCACTTGGAATCCCATTAGCACCTACACTAAATTAAGGATTTACTTCAAGTTGGGTTTTGCTTTAGAGCTTGGTAACAGCCAAACTGTTAAGGCAAGAAGAACTCTCCTCTGCAGTGTTCTTTACCTCTGCCAGCACAAGGTCATGGTTTATCGTGTGACAGTCTGCTGCTCCGGCTTGTCAGATGTCCCCGGGGAGTGCCAGCTACTTCCCTTCATTTTGTTTGACAGGGAGGGCTCTCGGGATCCTACGGACGCTTGACAGCCGCTGCCAGCCGGATGCTCTACCTACGGGCACGTGTCTCGAGCCCAGGCAGGGGTGCTGTGCGCGGAGAGTGAGGCCGGGTGCTGCGCCCCGGCTGCAGCTGGCATCTCCGGGCACGCCGCTCGCACCAACGGCCAGGGAACAGCGAGGTACTGGGAGGGTTGTGCTCTCATGCGTGTCTGGCAGTACTTGAAGTTCAAGACGTACGTTTTTATCAAACGTGCTGTACCGTGAGGCAGAGCTGCCCTGAAAGCAGCAAGGCAACAGCCTCCGGCAGCTGAGCCGGGAACCGGCCGCGGGCGCCAAGCTGTGATCTCAGCCCTTAATTCAGGGAGCTCCCAGGGGGGTCTGCTCTCCCCTGTAAGACCCTCTCTCGTAGAGGCTGTTAAAAAACCAACCTAGGCAACAAACTCAAGAAGGCACGTTCCACGCCGAGCCACCCGAGGCTGTTCTGTGGCGGCTGGCCCAGTAATTTTGACACAGCTCACACGCAGGCAGACACTGTGCCATTTATCAAGCAGGCTCTGAAGGGAGAACATCTGCTGGCTGGACCTGCTGCTCACGCCGATTCTCAGCCTTGTTTTTATGGAGAGTTGAATGTGTGAAATCTGTTTCCAAGTACCAAGAGCTCTGTGTTTGTGACCCGAGATACATTAACACTTCTGATGAATGAGAGCTCCAGCGGTTCTGCATTGCAAGCAAGACACCGAGGAGTGGAGAAGCACAAGCGATGAGTTACAGCAGAACTGAGCATGGAAGGACAAGTGAGATCTTGTGCATGAGCAAGACTGATCTTTTCTCAATGAGGAAGCTGCGCCTTCATCTGCCTTTAGAGAAAGGTTTTGCTAAACTGATTGGAAGAAATAAAAGCGTTCTGCACCTCACACTGCTCAGCAGCAATGCAGAAGTCTGCGTTTCCAAGTGTCACTTTTCAGGAAGAAATGCAGCTGGCAGACCCTTCCCTTTCAATACTCGCCAGATCATTTCACAGGCATTTTAGAAAACTGAAGCTGTGCTTCTTACAGTTGCATGCTCAGTAGCTGCAACAAACAGCCGTGGCAGCTGACAGCAGGTAATTCTGGGGAACACAATACACTGATTGTCAATTTTGAATGTGGATCTCAAGAGAATGGCAATGCTCCAGGCTCAGGCAGACTTGCTACTGCTCTGGGAGGCCCTGCAGCTTATTTTCAATCATATAGTCTCCTGCAAGTGGTTACCATCTCACAGAAGAGGTTATCGCATTCATGCCATGACAGGCTGGGCTTGAGATCCAAAACTCGCAGCAGGCTGGATCCACTTCACCCATTTCCAGGGTTAGGGGAGCAATTCTCATGTACCCAAGTGAAAAAATTGAGTGTTCTGATTTCACAGCCCTTGAAAGGCCTTTTATTAGGAATGGTTGTTCTCTTCAGCATAGAAAGGCTCTCATCCCAGGCATTTTCTTATTCCAGATTTGACTAGAAGCTAGAGAAGTACCTGGAAAGAAGATTCCTCACCAGTGCAAATCCCTATTTCAGAACCTATTTTCCTCTTTGAGAGCTGAAGGTCTCACACACATAGTGGCAAAGATATCCCACGCACCTCATCTCCTCCAGCAGGTAGGACCCCAACAGCCTACATATCATCAGAGGGGTAGCACTGCTGTGGCTGGGATAAGGCAGCTACAGGAGCCAAGCAAGCCTGTACAACTACTAGAGCCACCTCCCTGGCTGGCAAACAAGCCATGGCTATCAAGTATTTGTGAAGTTCAACACAGCCTCTCGCACACCTTTCCACAAGGGCTTGTTATCGCTCATGGGTGCTGTGCTGTGCTCTGCATTGGGCAGGGGGACCATGGCACTCACAAGTGCCAGGCACCCCCTGAAAGGCTGACAAGGCACTGCAAGAGTGTCCCCCAGAAGTTAACAGTGCACAAATAACTAAGTCAGATTTTCTTTAGCAACAGGTACGCTCCAAAGACATCCTGACAGCAGCTTTTTAATCTTTAAGAAGTAAAAAAGATGAACCAGAGAGCAGGGACTGCTCTATAACGCTGTGCCCAGTCTAACTTTGGCTTTATCCTTTGGGTAAATCACTGCTTGACTGGGGGTTGAATCTGAGTCGACAGGTCAAGAAAGTCATCACCACTACTTTGGGATGGGAGGCAGAAGCCTGCTATTCACTATCACAAGATGCAAGGTGACTGGCAAACAGAAGACTTCTCAGTTGGGAACCATAGTTATATTTTACCCAAGTAAGCCTCTGAAAATATTTCAGTCTTCCTCATCTTCTTGTAAAAATGGTGGGGTTTTTTTTGTTAACTTGTCGGATATTTTCATTTCTTTCCATGATTACTAATGTTAAGATTAAACCAGCTGCATTGGGTGAAAGATTAGAAATGGTAATAAAAATAACCTGAACAGGACTTGAATTCATTACTTCTGAAATAGTTGCCTAAGGAATGTACAAGTAGTCTTTGAAGTTTCTGATTAACATGACAAAAAGTTGAAAGCTATCAGTTTGGTTACTTCAGGACTTATTTTTCTTGTTATGAAAACAAAAAAAACCACCCACTAGAATAGGAGATGAACATAAGGTTCTCAGGTTCAAACCAGCCCTGCATCTACTTTAAAATGTTCCCCAGCTCAGAAAAACCACATTAAGCAAATTCAACTTGATGAGTGCTTTGGTTCTTCAATGAATGCAGGAACATTTGTATTCTCTAGTCCTATATTATGCTACAAAATGTTCCCTAAGTAGGTCACCAAAACGATTTCTGAATGTTTCAAGACGTAATTTCTACATGAACTCACAAAACAAAACCAGAGCCTTGGCTGTCAGGGCAATGACAGATCTCCATCAAACCCACTGCTGTCAAAAAAGTAAGGGGAGTGCTCTTTTTAACTTGGCATCTGCTATAGTGATTCAACTCTTTGCAGAGAAATATACTATTACTCCATATGGCAGCTTCCCCAAGTGTAAAAGGGCAGCCAACTTCTCTGGCAATGAGAGTGCTAGCAAATTAGCAGCTAAGTCTGGCACTAATGAATGCTCCACGGTCTCAATATAAGGTAGCTGGAGGTCTCCTCACATGTTTTCTCTCTTTGCTTTGTTCTAGCAGAAGACGCTACAAGAAACAAAAGGCATTCTGATTCCTTTAGAGATTTAATAACCCAAATACTTCACTTCCTTCCTGATCAAAGGAAGCAGCAACTCGAGAACGCCTCGTTGAGAGAGTCCCTGGTGTTCAGGAGGCAGATCAGGACCGTCACCTCCTAGAGACTTCCAAACTTCCTTCAGAGCAGGAGGAAGATTTTACCACAGCTGACCCAAATGCAATGATGCAACCTCATCCTCGTGACCTGGATGCAGAGGGAATCCAGCTTTTCCACAGGCTGGAAGAGCTCTCTGCAGAAGACAAGCACATGTAATTCATTCACTGTCCACATGCTCCCCCATTGCATGACTGAGCTCGGAGCCGGAGTGTAGGACTGCTCGTTTGAGCACCAGCGAAGCTATTTCGAGCTGTTTGCCCAAAGACTCATCAATAAGTCATAAGCCCCAGAATGGAAGTCAAAAGAAGGGAAAAAACAGTTGCTCAGGCAGAATAAATAGTAACTTCCGTCGCATTCCCTTAAACTAAAAAGAGAATGAGCTGCTTCAAAACATTCCGCTCTATGGGCTGCTACACTACAGGAAGCCAACCTAGTTCCACCTCCTGGGGACTTGAGGCAAGCAAGGCACGCTACATGGCAAATTAACCACACTTTTGGGATACTGTGAGAACCATCCTGGGGGACTCAGCTACCCAGGGCAGAGGCAGGAGTCGCTTGCTGAGCTCCGTTCCACAGAGTGGCTGCACGTGGCGGCAGCGGAGAGGAGTGTCCTTCCAGGGAGAACTGTCTGCCTGATGAGCAATTCAAGACCAACGCCCCTGCGGCACTCCAGGACTGACGGAGACAGTCTTTGATCCAAACCAGACGGGAACATCTCCCTGTATCTGTTGTGCCTTTATCAGACTGGCAGCCCAATCTGATAAAAAGCCTCTTCTAGAGAATGCTGTCCCCAACACGTACCAACAGCCTCATTGATGAAACATTAGCTGCTTACATCATTCCTCCTCTGCCTTTCCTGGAACACATCTTGTTTGCCTTGGATTAAGCTATCTGGGGCAGGGATGTGCCAAGGCCCTTGTAAAGCACCCTGGAAGTTAAGAGCGCTAGAGAAATATTAATCACTCGGCAGTTGCCATCTTTCCTGCAATTCCTTTAATTGCCTCAATTCACCCTGACAGTTCTCGCTGCCTGCTCCACCACAGGCATGCACCTTCTCTGTTCAGACCAGCCTCAGTTCACAAGCCCAACCAAACCTCATGCCCCATTTACAGAAGAGCGTTGCTGGAGCAGACGAAGACCTTAACCTACACAGATGCAAGCAGTGGGTTTGAGGTGTTTTTGAAAAGTCATAAAATTCAATAAGTCCGTGCTTCAGTCTTTCTGGGAGAGACTAGAAAAAGGAATAGGAAGAAGTTTTGGCCAGACTTGGTCCAAATCCATGAGGTCTGCCTGGTTACCCTATACACAGTATTTTGTTACCAGAGCCTTACCACATTGTGTTGGGCCAAACAAACTGGGCTGAGCACCTGGTGATCTCCCCCCTGCCCAAAATGAGACAAGCCTTACCTGGAGGTTGTTCAGGGGCTCCATTTTCATGACTGGTCCCAGAGTGTTGAGGGGCAGAGAGACATCAATACTTTGGTTTGGCATCAGAGGTGTGTGAATGGCCAGTGGGGTGCTTGGGATGACTCCGAAGCTGGGCAAGAGGAAAACAGAGGCGATGAGAGCAGCACTGCATTGCCCAACACCTACTCCCCTTTTGCCATGAACAAGTTGGCTCATCTTCTCATCCCTCCTGAGCTGCGCCTGCTGTTACTCCAGGGGAAGAACACAGCTCAAACTGGCAGACACTCAAAGTAGGACAAGGCATGGGAAACTCCATCAGGTCAGTCTCGCTGACAACATGCACCATCCTGCCCAGGGGACCGGCATCTGGGAACTCTTCCGTTACCCGCACGGCACTGCTCTACGTGCAGAGTAGCAGCCTGCCCCGCAAGGAGCAGCACCTGGAACCACACTCAAGCCTCTTGGCTCTCTCTTACCGAGCTGCAGAGCACAGCAAGTACAGTATATCACACACTGCATGGCTGTTACATCGTTGGGAGCTACGGAAGAAGGAACTGGAGCCAACACAGAACAAAGAGATAGCCAAGGAGGAGTACGTGGTTTGTAACAGAGCACTGTGGAACAAATGAATCAACACAGCCAGCTGTCTGGTCCCGAACAACAGCGTCTGGCTCTGTTGCTTGGTTTGACACTCCTTCAGCTAGGGACAGATACCACTACAACAAAGCAAGCTTTTACTTGCCTGTTCAGTCCAAGACACATTTAATTCCACAGGCACCTCTACTTAATATGGAGAACAGGAAAAGCATCTGACATTTAACGTAACGCTTCGGTACTACGTACTGGCTTCTTTTCGAAGGCAGACGGAAGTGCAGGTGCATGAGAGAGTTTCAGTGTCCACTCGTGACTGCATTTCTCTTTAGCAGAATTCACATTAGCCCAGAAGTGATGGAGCATTTACAGGAACAAAGACGTATAGGTGTGTATTTTTATTTTACACACAAAAAAAATGATACTGTCTCTGCACAGAGTCAGCCGCGTGTGTTTTGGGCATGTCACTCTTTCAGAAGCCAGTAGATGCCCCATTCTTTGTTCTCCTTAGTTTTCAGCTCTAGGGAGCTTAAATAAGAGCATTCTCAGCAAGGGCCTAGCCACGTGATTTGCCTTCTGCAGCCATTTCACCTTGAGGGACATAAGCCCTAGTGTTTTCCTTAAGACTCAGAGGGAAAACAAAGTTGCATTTTGCTGCTAAGTGGCTGTGACATTACAGGACACTAGAGCTCTAGTTTCCTTTTTTTTTTTAAAATGCTTTATCCCAAGACTGCAGTGAATGTGATTAACAGCAGCAGGAGAGGGGGGAAAAGCAACAGAAACTTCCCAATCACAAACTCTAACATTTAAACCTAGAGAGCCAGCTCGCTGCAGCTCTTTGCAACGCACCAGCCACAGCAGAAAGCAGTGACAGGAGAACAGTAATTGTAGAAGAGTAAATAGTAGTAGATTGTATATGGATCGTGCTGATACGCTGCAGAAGGAGAAACTGCTGTTTTGCTGTACGCTATTTAAACTTTTTACATCCTTGAGAAGTACCACGTAGGTGTGGCTAGTACACAGCTTGATATATGGGGGAAAAAAACCACAAGCAAAACAGATTTTTTTCAGGTCAATTTGGATGAAACATTTGCATATAGCAGCTTAGCAAAACTCTCTCTCCAGAAAATACAGCAGTCCAGGGAGAACGTTTACTAAGACTTACTTAGCATAACGTCTTCTGTAAGTAAATATTATTCGTCCCAAGAAATCCCAAATTTGCAAGGCTAACAGCGATACTAAAGAGACAGTTTCAGTAGATCTGTAGTATAAAGAATCTTTTTCCAGCGAAGAGATATTAAGAAATATGGGGAACATTTCAGTCACAAGATATTCTTTACAGTTTTGGTAAGAACTAGCCTGATCCTTGCTCAAGATAACGTACAAGCTCTGACTGGGAAGGGTATCTGTGGGAAGACACCATGGCTGCACTGCCATGTCATGTCTTTTGGCCGAGATGGGTTTCTGAGAACAATCTGTATGCTCTAAGCATTCCAGTGGCTGCTCCTGACAAAACTGTTCTGCTGCCAATTACACAAAACACATGTGCCATAGGCTCTCACCTTGCAACGTCTCCATCGACAAATGGCTTTATTAATGAGCTGCACTTCCAGAGGGTCTGAGGGGCAGCATGGTAACTAAGTCAGGAGGTAGAGGCATTACCTGTTTATGCTCTCACTCTCCTTGGGGCGTTTACTAGTTATAAAACCACCCACTATAACCTGCCTAACAACACATGAGGCTGCTTTAAAACTCTGCAGAGATTAAATGGGGCAGATGCTGTTTTAGAGCTGGGAGAACGACGGGACCGTCTGCTGCCTGTTTCCTCACAGATTTATCAGTCTGTATCTTCAGCCCTTTCACACAACTGTGGTGTGATGGAGAGTTCAGGCTGTATCACCCAGCTGTTTCCATGACTGCATTATGTACTTACATAGACGTTCTCCCCATATCTAGCAACGTAGACACAGACTCCTTTCACAGGAACACCCCATCTTTTTAACATAGCGGATGAAGCATATTGATTTCTTACCTGTTCTTATTGAACTGAATGGCAAAGTCGGTCATGTGCTGCAAAGCCTTATTGGTAAAGTTCATCTCCATGTAGATGTGTCCCTGCCTGTGACTGAACGTGCCCGAGATCTCCAATCCTTTAGCCTTCACTGCAGGCAACCAAACCTTGAACACAGAGACGTCATTCAGCATGAGAAGTCTGGCTTGAAGATACCAAAACAAGTACAGCTTTCCAAACAACAGAGAAGTCCTGAGTTTGGAAATCCAGCTACATTGGCACACTAAGCCCACAAACACTACAGAAACACTACAGGGAAGCTATGACACGGGGTGTTGAGAGGATCAAGCTCACCAATGAGAAATAAGCTTGCTGCTCCTAATTCATATTTGTTCACAGCACTCACATAAGAATTCCAATACACTATAGCATTAGTGTGCACAAGAAACTGTGAAAGCTTGTGTCCATCACACTGATGCAAGACTTACCAAGTCTGCGGATGGACAGGCTTCTCCAAGGACTTGTTGGGCTATTAGAGGCAGGACAATACTAAAGTTTGAACCAAATAAAATTACAGGGCTGATACTATTAGCAGTTTGGGTTCTGGATTCCCAAATCATCTTTGTGGGAAAAACCCAGACCCAAATTTGAGTGGTGGAAAATGAAGTTACTACTTAGCTCAAGATTACTGGGTTCTTTCATGCTTGGTCTTACGTATGGTGTAATATGTGCAAGCAGCTAAGGACAAAAAGCTTTGAGCATGCTCTGCAGTCCCTTGAGATCCTACATTTCATAGGATGACTTAACTTTATTAATCCACTGACTATTTAATAAGAGTGCTAATTTATCCCCTTTCAGGCATGAAAGGCTAACCCTGAGCTCCCTGTGGCTGCTCCACAGCCTCTTACCAGAACTGTGTTCTGTATCTCCTGAGCCCTCCAGACTAAGCATGCTCCAGTCAGCGCATCTGCGATCTCTACCACTAACGGAGCGTTTACCCGCATTACCCTGCCGCATGCTCATCCCAATCACGGCATTTTGTCTTCGCTGTCACGTTGGATTCCTCCAAATAAACGAATCTTCTATGAAAGTTGTAGCAAACTGTATCTTGCCCTCAGTTTCCTGGGGAAACTTCCTGAGAAGTAGGTCTCCACGAAAGCTGCTCTGACAAGACCGAAATTCTCATATCTTACATAAGCCAGTCTTTAGAGTAATATGGTTACAGGCAAAATGAGGGAACTGCTTCAAAAACCCTGAAGTCTGTAACTAACAGCTAACATGGTCTCCAACACACTGTTATTCTGCCTGGGACAAGTCCAGGGCATCCCTAATGGGACTGAGTTGAACTAAGGTGCCCCGACAGCACCAGAGACCAACAATAAAGGGGACAAGTGAGCACTCTCAGACTTCTTGTAGCCTAAGGTGAGGCAACATACTAAGGATGTTCTTTTTCCTTACGTACAGACTTTGGAGCCACATATCCTCCAGGAGCCATGCCTATACCAGATGAGAGCTCAAAGAGATCGTTGAGTCCACTGCTCACCACCGCTGGGGTGGGTGAAGGGGCAAAGGTGGCTGGCACGGAGGAGGGAATGTAGGTCTGCCCCACCTGGAGGAGTTAGAAAGAACAGGCACTGATTAACATCACACATGAACTCGGGCAATATCTTAAATATTTTAAAGCCGTTTGCAGCTTCCCCACTGAATTATCAATAGTGCTAAATAATGCATTTGAATTCCAAAGCCCTTGGCAACTAATCCCTACACTCAGCTGGCACCTCAACCATGCAATAGCTTTCACATAATTTTTTATAGCTCCAGTTATCTATTCCCACTGCTGAGGAATCTTTCTTCTCCATCTCTCCTTATAAAGACAATATGCTTTGTGGATCTACCCTACATAAACCCATGGAAAAGAAAAAATGCTTCAAATCTTCCTCCAGCTATGAGAGTTTTCAGGAATCTGCAAGATTTTGCATATCCAGAGATAGCAAGGGAGTCATGATCGTATTGTGTACTCCCACCCAAAGCCAGAGCTCTGCATTCTCGGCACTGTGGACCAAAAGGCTCCTTACATGAAGCAGAACTAGTTGTCTCTGCCTGCCAGAGGACAACCTTTCTGCAAGAAGGGCAATCCTTCCCTCTCAGGGCTTAAATGAGGGCATCGAACCTGGCATATTAACCTTTAAGTGTCCAGCTCCAGGTGGGACAGTCACACTCAAGTTAGACTCCCAGGGTCTTTTCATCACTGTGAGCAGGAAGAGTTATGTGCTTGAGAACAGGATTCACCAGTCAGCAGCCCAGAAACAGGCAGAATGACTAAAGCAAGCAACAGGAAATACCGATGACAGGCCTGGGTCTGAAGTCTCACCGCTGTTCTGTGTGCAGGAACCCACCTGAGATACGGTGTTTCAATCAACCCTTTGGACAGGGGGGACTAGCGGTTTTACAGGACTGCTTGGTGAGTTTATCCTGGCCCAGGAAGGCAGAGACCTGGCTTTGTAGGTATGATCTCTACAGAGAGCGTATCTCTCGTGTCCTGGTGTGTGCTGCCTGGGGGCTACAGGTATACTGTACCACTGGCTCTCCTCTGCACTCAAGCTGAAGTTAGGAGCAAGATTCACAGGGAAAGAAGGAGAGAGGATGACTGCAGCCATAACGAAGGTCTCTGAAAAGCCCTCACTCCACACAGCCTTTACTGAGAACTGAGTATGCTTTCCTCACCGAATTACTGGCTACACGGTCCTGGGAAGAGGGACTGGAGCTTTCCCCGGGAGACTGCTTTTGGCTGTGGCTTGGAGGCACACTCCCTCCTGCTCACTGTGTCTGCATGTCGTCCTGCATCCTTTGCCATGCTTTCCTGGAAGAAGCTGGTATGCATTTGAAGCCAATGGTGCTTTGGAAGCTGCCTGAAAGTCTCCCATGTCCTGGCAAGGGCTCTAGGCACTAGGGCATTCACAAAGCACAGGCACAGAGGAGGCGGTCGGTGGCAGGCAGAGCTCAGCATTGACCACACATAGTAGGAAAGCTCAGAGCACCCGATCCTGACGTCCTGGAAAAGCCTTACGTGGCGTTTGGGAGGAGAAAAGCGTTGAGTTCAGACAAGCCCATGGTGACACCAGGTTAGGGTTACAACAGAACAGGCTTTGTGAGCAGAGAGGTGAGCATCCTTGGCCTTTCAGCTGTCAAAGCAGTTGCACAAGGACTGGGGTACTGCCACAGTTACGATGGTGCTCAAATTAAAAGCTCTGAGAAAGAAGAGCTAAGCAGATAGAGTCAACAGCCCTGGCTGCTCTTAAAGAAAGCCCAGGTCACAGGTGGACTCAAAGCAACGTAGGTGGAGACTTGTGTGTTTCAGTTGCATTTGTCCGTTTTCAAACACCTTCAGGGATTTAAGAGCATCTTTCAGCACAAAATGGGTGAGGTTATATTTAAAACCCTGAGCTTTGAGCAGCTTTTTAAATTGGGGAAAAAAATGGAATGGCACTTACTGCCGGGCTTCCTCCAATGCCCCCGCCAAGGTCACTGCCAAGCTGAAAGAGAGAAGGAGAGAGAGGAGAGAAAGACAGAGTTCATTTAAGCCAAGTGTCAGATAGCCGGAGTGGAGCTCAGCTGGCCGCACTGCTGCGAGCGTGTCCCGCTCGCTCGCCGCGTGCAGGACAGACAGAAACGCAATGATGGGAAAGCACAAGGAACAGAGGGGCTTTTTTTTTTTTGCTGTTGTGCGAGCAGAGCTATTTGGAGAACCACTCCACACACCTGCTGTGGACAGGAGTGTTTTGCAGGTTAGTACGAACAAAAAACCCTCATCCCCGCCTCGCGCCTGTCATCTGCACCAAAAACTCTGCCCAATCCTTCATGTTTCGTGCACCAGTGCTTTCCCTTCAGCCCACCACACTGGTTTGCCAACAGTCCTGAGCAGCTCCACAAAACCCAGTGGGGTGAAATGGAATAAAAATAAAACTGTCAGGAAGCTCATTCCTGAAAGCTTTAGTTTTCTAGAGAACAGCTACAAGCTACAGGAAAACACAATGCATCTTGGCTATGTTCCTGGCAGCTTTCTTCCATAAAAAGGCAGAGAAGGGGATACGTGTTGGCTGTTACAACAGCTCAGACAGGAGGGCTTTGTCTTCCCTTTGGAGATGGTCCTCTCCCTTAGGAAAGAAAACGGCTTCAGGATCTAATGGGCCACTCAAATAGTAAAGAGACCTTAGAGTGCACTAGGATATTTCAGTAACAACCTCTGCCACGCTACACAGCTACAGTTTGAAGCGACTGAAATAGCCACTGTGTCCCACCTGTACAACCCTCCATAAACACTAAGTCCTCCCTGGAGCCCTCCTGCCAAACCATCCCGCAGCCCACCCGGAACTTGTCCTACCACGAACTCCCTTTACGAAACATCCAGACCACTTTCTCAGTGATAAAGCCCCTTTTTTAAACATCCACACCATTCTGCATGCTCGAGAGAATTCATTGATCAGGACAGACTCTGAAGCTGGCTACAAGTACAACATCATCCTGTGAATATTTATAAAGCGCTCGACAGATGACTGATAGCCAGGAGGAGACAAGCACAGATCTGTAGTGGTTATTCACTACAAAGACATCTCCAGGCTTACCTGTGTCCTAGGCTTTTGTTCAGATGACCATGGTAGTTTTTTGCCCAGTGCAAGTTTTTTTTTTTTCTGTCACATTCAGACAAGGATCATGCCTGGACAACATGCACAAGAAGATGAAGCCAGTGCAGGGGTGAGGTAGGAGCCAGCTTTATGGAGAAAAGGCTGGACTGGCAGGCCAGAACAACACAGCTCACCTCGTAAAGAGCTGTGCTCTTCCATTTGATCGGGGTTTGGGGAGTTTGCTTTCAAAGAGTATCTGACAAACTGAGTCAGCAAAGACTCTCAGTATGTTGTTCAAATATACACTGATGTGTTAAGATAATGAAAAAAATTGCCCCATATAGCTAAAGCAGAAGCTTCCAGGAGTGCCTGTGCATAGAGCCAAAAAGGCTCCAACCTTTTCCCTCTGCACAAAATACTTGGAAATTTAACTTTGTTCTGGTCCGGGCTAACCTGTTCCCTGGGAGCCCTCATGGCAAATGTATTTTACACTGGTCAAGAGAACCATAAAGCTTCATGCTTCTCTCCCTCAGAGCACAGGCAAAAAGGACAAAAATGCCTTGAGAATGGCAGCAAAGTTGCAAGACAGTGACTTACTAGATGATAACCAGCCACCAAAAAACCTGTAAAATTGGACAAATCCCTGTGCTGTTCTGGATCCCCCTTCTGTTCCCCGGCACATCTCCTTCCCTTAGTCCCCACCGGAGCCACCCGACGCAATACCACCTACACAAGTAGGTGTTAGAGAAGTACAAATCACACACAATTTGACTTTGTTAAGCAGCCTTAAGAGCTTTTTTCCTGTGTGAGACTCAGTTTATTCCTACTTGAGGTCACAGCAGAACTTTGTAGGAGGTCCCTCATCACTGGCAACAGCCACCTCTTCCGACAGCAACGCACCCTCTCGCTGCCCGCAGCAATGCAGCGCGCAAGTCCCGTTTGCTTCGCTTACTTAAGAGATAACAGATAAAAGCCAGCGATTCCAAAGTCAAAAGAAGGATCAGTCACAGACCACGGGGAAGCCAGCCAGAGGATGCAAATCCAATTAATATTGAGCTTATAAAATAGAGTTTATTACACTGTCAGGTCTCCCCCACTGAAACAGCCTGGCAGAGCAAAGTTTTGTTCTACAGAGTGTTTTTTAAGCCAAGCCATGTTTTAGATTAATGTATCAGATCATTTACATCTTGTTACTGGCTCACTGAGGAGTAATAAATGCAACTATTACACCTCATCCCTATTCATAGTCTTGCACGCAGATGAGCTTCACCCTTTATAGTGACAGACAGTGAAGTCCAGAGGAAAAGAAGCAAAGGTAAAGAACTCAGTTCGTTTCCAGATATTATTGTATGCACGGAGGATTTCTGGTACTGTTGTCTGAAGCAGGAGAAAGACTGGTTTATCGAGCAGCAGGCATTTTACAAAGGGTATTATGGAAATGACTGAATAATTCTGCATAATCGAGCCAGATGTTAACTATTCTACCATTTCCTACTACACTCATCATAGGAAGCTGCAGGCTAGAAATCCAACCTCAAAGAAACCCATACACTGCTATCTGCAGGCACTCGCTGTGAAGGAGGGAAGGACTGACATATTGGGGTTCCTCAAGCTATCTGCAAGTCTTCCATTTTCCCTAGCTGTCAGGCCTTGAGGGAAAAGTAGAATTTGGATTTATTACTTGTCTTCAGTCAAGACTCCAGCTCTCACCCCCTACAAGGTGGAGGAAAAAAAGCCCCTCACTGGCTCAGAATTTACCATGAGCCTCCTTACATTTCTAGATTGCATCCAACGTCTCTGCTTTGTGGTAGAAGAGGTCTCTTTCCAATGCCAGGAAGCTCTGACCTGCTCCTCGTGAAGCCCCACTTTACTCCTAGGAGGGGTCCTCAGACAACAACCTGCCACTCTTGGCTCCTATGCTTGGGGAGAGCGCTGCAGATGTGTGCTGCAAAGCTGCAGAGCAAGCTCCAAGGAGCTGGCAGCTTCA